TCAAATCTTCCTGACTCTAGGCCCAGCACTCTGTGCACTATGGCACCACCTAGCTGCCCCTGTGCCACCTAGCTGGTAGCTATATAAAGTGCTTAGCAAACCTTAAAGCATTATATAAATAAATGCTAACTATTATCATTATCTCTGCAGCGTTGATACTCTTCTCTCTTGGTTTTCCTGACACTGCTCTCTCCTGGTTCTCCTACCTATCTCACTGCTCCTTCTCAGTCTCTCTTGCTTAATCCTCCTACAGAATGATCCTAATAACCATGGATGTCCTCCAGGTTCTGTCCTGGGCCCTCTTCTTCCTCTTTAGTATTGTACTTGGTGATTTCATCAGCACCTATGGGTTAACTTATCATTTCTGTGCAGATGATTCTCAGATCTATTTAGATCTATCTAACTTCTCTCTGAACCTTCTGTTTTACCATGTCCAACTGCCTACTGGGCATCTCAAATGGGATAACCCCATAAACATCTTAAACTCAACACAAAATAACTTTGTGTTGTCCTTTAAAAAAACCTCCCCCTTCCTAACTTCTCTATTGCTGTCAAGGGTACCACCATCCTCCCAGTCACTCAGGCTCAAAACCTAGATGCCATCCTTGACTCTTCACACTTTCTTCCCTCCTCATATCCAATCTGTTGCCAAGTTTGATGTTTTGCCTATATATGTCAATCAGTCAACAAACATATTAAGTGCCTACTATGTACTAAGTTCTGGGGATACAAAAAGAGGCAAAAAATACCTCTTCCCACCCTCAAGGAGCTCACAATCCAATGGAGGAGACATCAAGCAAACAAATATGTACAGACATGCTATATATAGGATAAAAAGGAAATAAATAATAGAAGGAAGGAACTAGAATTAAAATGAGTTGGGACAGGTTTCAGGTGGAAGCCAGTGAAGCATCCAAACTCTGTCGTAGAGAACACTATTCCAATGGGCTGGCCATGTTGTTTGCATGCCAAAGGTACGTTTGCTTAAAAGACTATTTTATGGAGAACTCACATAAGGCAGGCACTCACTTGGTGGTCAGAAGAAAGGATACAAGGATACTCTCAAGGTCTCTCTGACGAACTTTGGAATCGATCTCATGATAGGAGAGACAGTGTCAAAGAACCACCCAGCATAGCACACCACATCAAAGAAGGCACTGTGCTCTATGAGCAAAGCAGAATTGCAATAGTTGAAGAGAAATGTAAGATATGGAAATTTAGAGACATTTCTGCTCCAAATGTTCATATGAACTATTTGTGCCCAATCTATGGTAGAGCCTTTCAAGCCTCCAACATAGTGATGTTATTTTAGTCCTCTGAGAGCAAAGGACAACAGCCAACAATCACTGCTACTACTTTGCTGCTGGCCTTCATCATCTCATATTGAGACAATTGCAATAGCCATCTAGTTGGTTTCTCTGCCTCTGGTTTATACACAGCAGTCAAACTGATCGTCCTAAAGCCAGGGTCTGACCATGTCATCCCTCTCCTCAATGGAGGATGGACACAGTTATGAGCTCACACAGACCAGGTTCAAAGTGAAGAGGACTTCTCTTTATGATTTTTGCTCCCATCCAGTACTTCCCATGGGAACATCAGGATTTGGCTTGTCTGTTGAAGCTCTTCAGCTTCCACAGAAGTACCTAATCTACCAAAACACTGAATATAAGACAAGTTTCATTAACCCCAACAAAAATTGCAAAGCACTCTTAAAGTCCATAAATAATCAAGACCATTGGGAGACAGTAGAGCAGAGCAGTCAGTGTGCTATACGTGGGAGTTATGACAACTTGAATTCAAATCTTGTCTCTGCCATTTGCCATCTTTCTGACTTTGGTCCAGGCCCTTAACCCCAGTCTCATATCTTAGAAGGGGGGAAGGTCACTTCTAGCTCTATGATATCATGAGCTCACTTCTGTTGGTCTCCACCTTCTTGAGAAACTGGCTCTTCTGGATTTATAGCCCTACTTTGAGGGAGCAATCCTACAAAAGGAAAGCATTTGGCACTGCCCACTTATATAGTACATACCAGTGTTCTGAATGGCAAAAAAATTAAAATAGATAAAGCTTTTTGCTTTTAGCCTGTGAGAGCTCTTTAGTATTTTTGGAGTTAACAGTGGTTGCAAAACTTCTATGACTCTCTGGTCATTTGTTACCAGAGTTGACACTCTTTTTGACATTGAGAGAAATGATTTTTAAATAACTAATTGTGAATATTAGGGCAATCCAGGATTTTTTCCCTTCCTATTTCCTCATTCTCTACTAGGTCCAATAAGCCTCTGAAGAATAGAACTGATAGGAGTAGCTAGGTGGTGCAGTGCACAGAGCAACAGCCCTGCAGTCAGTAGGACCTGAGTTCAAATGCCGCCTCAGACACGTACTAGCTGTGTGACCCTGGGTAAGTCACTTAACCCCAATTGCCTTTAAAAATATCACCTACTTCACAGTGTTGTTAGGAGGCTCAAATGAGATAACAGTTGTAAAAGGCACTTAGCACAGTCTCTGGCACATAGTAGGTGCTATATAAATGCTATCCTCAGTCCCCTCTGCCCCCCTTGTTACCCTTGGCAAACTTCTGTTGGCCTCAGCATTTTGCAGATCTTAAAGTGCTATATTATAAATGCTATTTTTTATTATAACATGAGTCTCCTTCATGCACTCTCCACTGCAGCCAAACTGCCCTACTTGCTAAAAGTGTCTCTTATAGGACATCCCTTCTAATACCTCCATGGTGTTGCACCGGTCTTTCAGGCCTGCAGTACTCACTGCTCACCTCTGCTTCCAGCCACCAGCAAGGCTGAGCTCAAGAGAGACTTCCTAAGAGCACTTTTCTTTCTTGATTACCTCCAGTTAATTACCCCTCCTCAAACTTTGTACTTTTTGGTATTTACTTATCTGTCTGTGTACGGGTTAGTTCCCTTCTGGGAAAATGTAAGCCTCTTGAGGGCTGGTACTGTTCCAGTTTTGTCTTTATAACCACAATACACGGCAGAACTGCTGGGCACATAGTAGGCCCTCAATCAATACGTGTAAAATTGAATTGATTCTTTTTTTGATTTGTTTTTTTGAATTGATTTTTTTAAAACCATTTAAGTACAGCGTGTAGTATGAAAACGTGAAAACGGGCACCCAGAAGACGTCGTAGTCTGAGTTGCGATATTAGAGCAATTTCCCATTACCACGCCCAGTGAAACTAGAGCGTAAGAAGTCCCACCCAATCTATTAACCCCACCTCAACCGGACTACAACACCCAGAAGCCTTTGTATCCTAGTGCATACGCACTTCCTCCCAACATCCTCAGCGGCAGAGAAGGAGCAAGCAGGAGAGAAGTAGAGCTCTCGAGGCCGACACGACTCGTCTAGAACTCGCAGCCGCGGAAGGCCGCCACCGCCGCTGGCGCCGTGAAAGGAACCTCCGGCCAGGTCCCCAGCGGCCTTTTCTCCCTCTCCCTACCGGCCGCAGCCAACCATGTCGGCCCAGGCGCAGATGCGGGCCCTGCTGGATCAGCTCATGGGCACGGCCCGGGACGGTGAGTAGGGAAAGGCCGAGGAGCCCGCGGCTGGGAATGGCGGGCGGTGATGGCGGGGAGCGGAGGTGGGGGTGGGGGTGTGGAGGGAGGTGGCGAGGCCTGGGCGGCCCGGGCGGCCCGAAGCTGGGCGGGGGGAGGGGGCGGCCTGCTCGGCCCTGCGCGTGCGCCCCAGGTGACCCGGACTCCCTTTCTTGTCTCCCCCGCCCGCCCAGGCGAGGCGCCCGGGCCTTTTGTGCTGCCGCCTCTGGCATCCAGGCGTCGGCTGGCCTATCTCGGAGGCCCAGGCCCTGGGCCCCTTTGTCTCCGCCCGGATCCTGCCTCCTGGAGGCCGATGCCTTGGGTGCTTGGGCATCTTCCTTACCGGATTCTCCCCATCCCCCAGCACGCATGCATACGCACTCGCTGCTCGGCCTGTGGGGGCCCAGTTTGGGCCTTTTTGTGGCTCACTCCCTTTCTTTCCACTCAGACTGGGAGGCCGCGGGGCGCTGGCTACCTCCACCCACATCCTTCCTCTGGAGGCTCTGGCGGTTCTTTTTGCCCTCCTCAAATTTGAATCCTCCTTCGTGGCTTCTTCTGGCCCCCCCACCTGAGCGAAATTTAAAGGGTGTCAATAGTTGCGGGCTCAGAGTAACTGATTTGTATTTCTAGTTGGTGGTTTACAAACCCCCCTCAACGCTAACCAGCAGATACTGTCCGCTTTTGACCGTCTTTTCTTTGCCCCAGGGCCGACTTTTACTTCCTCCTCTCCTGCACACGTATACCCTTGTTTGTTGGCCTAGAAACAGCCACCTTACGAAAAAATAGGGAATTTAGCAAAGGGCCTGAGTTTCTTGATCTTCACAGACAGTATGTTTTCCAAGCCATGTGGCAGTGTTTTTCCTGGGCTTTCTCTGAGAAGAAGTTCTATAAGAGAGGGAGCCTAATATAACAGATAATATATCTCAATGCTATTTTTATTCTATTTCATTGCAAGAGAAATTGTAAGGTCGGCTTTTCTAATATGGGGGTTTTGTGCAAAGTGACGTTATCACCACCTTAAGCCTTCACATGAGAAACCCAGTGTTTAGTCAACTCCTTACAGACATAGGTAGGTTTGTACTATAGATAGGAAAGCAAAATTCTAAATGTTTCAGGAAAAAAGGCTGCAAAACAAAAACCAAAACAAAACTATATTCCAGTTGTGGTTTGTGTTTTCTTTTCTGCCGAAATAATGAAGTTGTAAATTCACACTGGCACATTTTCAGGGCTGTGCAGATTCTTTGCACTTTATTTCATAGATGAATAAGTGCTTTTTAGCTTTCTTTGTATATTGAGTTGCTTTTGAATTGCTTCCCATATTTTTATTTCATACAAACTGAACAATTGTGGCCCCTCTATTTTATTTATAAAGGTTCAGTGTATCTTTGCCTGCCTACATCAATCTGCAAGGGAGTTGCAGAAAAGCCTCATGTTCATCGAGCCGTGAGTCACAACCAATTTTTAAAGCTGTTATAACAAAAAAGTGTTTGCTTTTTTCACAAGTAACTTTAAAAGTGTAGTTTAGAAAGAAAACATTTTCAATAAAAAGACACTACATTAATCCTGGATGCTTGCAAATCCTAAAATATAGTCCTACTTTAGTATTACACAGATCTGTGTCATATACACAGATTAGCTTTAAAATTGTCACATTCCATTGCCACTTTGCCTTTACTTTTATGTATCATTCCCCTGACTTCCTTACTGCAGGTGTGGGCAAGAAAACTTTTCCTTTAAAACTTTTCAACAGCGGGCATAAAATTCTGCAGCTGAGGTCTTGAAGAATGCAGATGGGTACAGTATGTGTTGGAGCTCGCAGTGTGTATTGACTAACCTAGTTTCTTTCTGCCTTTCTCATATTGTCTTGTTAAAAGTGACTCCCAAATGCCAAAATATTTTTAAGGGTGGGAAAAAGGGAACCAGGGAGATGCCCAGATCATAGGGTTCTACAATGACGTTTGTATACTTTTCCTGGACTCTAGACAAAAAAACACTGCCTATTCAGTGCCACATCAAGAAAATAGATGAATGATACCTGTTGCTGGTGGAAATTAGGAGGTGTAAGTGTCATATTCTTTGATTCATGGCCCACTGAGAAACATGGGTTTTGGTATCTCCATCCCTATCTGCTCTTCTTGAGTAGGGTCCAGGTAAACTTTTGATAATTGTTAAGCCATTTAATTGTGGCCATTTGTCTATTTTGTATAATGGGCAGGTCAGATATCATTTGGTAAGATCTCATACTCTTTCATGATGTACTTAAACCTATAAATACGTTAGTAGTCCAGCTTCCATTTATGTTTCTAGACCCTGTTTTTCAGTGAATTTGATGGGGAGTACACAAAATTGATAGTCGGCAAATCCAGGTGAATTGTTGCAGCAGATATCCATGCATGGTTAATATGATAATACTGTCTTATTTAAAACCAAACATGAATTTCAGGAGACGAAACCAGACAGAGGGTGAAGTTTACAGATGATCGTGTCTGCAAGAGCCATCTCCTGGACTGCTGTCCTCATGACATTCTGGCTGGAACGGTACGTGCTTTTTCACAGTACAATAAAGTAAAGAAAAAACTGTTGCTGTTTTAGGGAAGCCATTCAGCTGGTGCTTTATTTTACATAGCCTAGTAGAAATTTCCTGGTGCCCTTCAAATTATATAATCTTAAGAAAGAGATGTCTTTGGATATAATAGAATTATTGTATGTCTCACTACTATAAAATTATTAGACTTCAGAAAGCTTGTCACACTGAGTACTAAGAAAATACTGTTATTTCCTTAAATATCCATATGTAGATTTGTATATTAACTGCTCCTATTTTCGGCAAGCAGATTGATCTGATTCTAGACCCTCTGTGACTTTTACCAATCACACTCTTCAATGTTGCCAATAATTTTTTTGTTTTAATAGTTAATAGGTGTTACTCCTTAAGCTTTCTTCTTTTTTTTTTTTTGAGAGAACGTTTTAATCAATTAGTGTCTGGTTTCCTTTTTGCAAATTTATATTATGTCACTATTTTAGAAAAGCAGTATATGAAAGTCAGTAAATGTGAATTTTTCTCCCATTTTACATTTTATTTTTCTTTCATTTATTTTTGGAGGCAATCAGCATTAAGTGACTTGGCCAGGGGCACACAGCTAGTAAGTGTCTGAGATGGGATTTGAACTCTGGTTCTCCTGACTCCAGGGCCGATCTGCTATGCATTGCACTACCTAGTTGCCCCTCATTTTATTTTGCTTTTAAATTTCTCCACTAAAGTCTGACCCTGATGTCTTCTGTGATGTTAACCCAAGTTTTTTGAAGATTGTCAGTGGGAGGCAATCTCTGGTAGGTCTTACCAGAAAGACTGAGTATGAGTCTTGGAGTTGACTAAGTCTGTAGACTGAGGACCAGCCTGCTTGGCTAATGGAAGAGATTCTTGTCACTAGGTTAACTTACCAGGTTTTGAATTTTTTCAACCACAGAAACTCATGAAAACTAAGGTGTTTTTTTTTTAGGGGGTTAAATTGCAGGCCATGTTGGTGGAGAGAGTATCAGAGCTAATTGTTAAATTTTCCATATGAGCATTTATATATTGAAAATTGGCAACTGCTACAAACCAGGGCTTGATTGATTGTTTTGCTGATTGTCTAGACTTAACAGTGATGGTGAAAATACTAATGATGTAAATTAATGTGTTCTGCTTACATTATTTTTTGAAAGCTGGTTGTAAACATTTACCCACATACCCCTGTGAAGTGTCTTTGAGATATTGAAATAAATACAGATTTTAAATGAAAAGAAGAACAGCAGACTTGTGCCATTTTTTTAATACACATTTCCAAAGGTCAGAATTAAAAAGGCTTGAAGGGCACAACTTTGCCTGTAATGATGAACACAGAAATGTAGAATGTAAATTCCTTGATAGCAGGGGCTTTTTCTTCTTATATGCCTACACAAGGCCTTGCACATAGCTCTGCAAGTACTAGTGGATTCCAGAAATTTTGTGGTTTCCTAGATGTACTGTTCCTTCCACCAACAATTTTGAGGGCTGTATAGCATATATTTACTGAAGTGCTCATTTTGGCATTGAGCATGAACCTAGATTTTTAAAGGCTATGCCAGTGAAGTGGAAACTGCTATATCCTACATAGCTAGAAAAGCTTTTGGCCCATGTAATACTTTTATCTTATTATAAACTTTCTGTTGTATTTTTCCATGTGTACTATACTTACCTCACCACTAGAACTATTTTAAGATAATTAGAAAAGTTTTATTTTCTACATAGTAGTTAATATAGCATCATTAGAAATGGGTATTGAATATTAATGGATGGATTGTATGTCTTTCATCTGAGAGGACCATCTCAATGGGCTACTATTCTCTTCTATCAAACTAGGAAATACTAGCTAGATTCAGAAAAGTATCACCAAGTTGGCTATAGGGTGATAACATTTTTAAGCCACAGTAATTCCTGAAGACCACTTTACTAGGTTATAGAAGAGTTGCCTTCTGTGTTGGTGGAGGACAACAAAACTACCTTAAAAGTATTGAAGGATGATGTGCATGTTCTAAGAGATAGTTTTCTCTGTGATGAATCATTACTTTGTCTATTATTATCTTGAGGAAAGAGCCAGGAGAAGAGCACTGTCAGTTTCATCTTTGGTATTATAAAAGCTGGTAACTTGACTACTATACCTATAGCTACAGTTTGATAGGGTATTTGGCTATTTATGTACCAGACCTTTGTTGCTCAATAGTAATCATCATTTTCACCATTCGTAAATGTTCTGATGGAAAGAGTAGTGGGGAATGATCCGGGATTATATCCTGGAGTTGTGCTGGAAGAAGCTGAAAGGGAGCCATTTCAGCCATCTTTTTGAATAGCTGTTGAAAGCTCGTATTGTTTTTGATCACTGAGTGTGACATTTTTCAGTCATAGAATATATATCTATTGTGAGATTAATGTTTAAGTACCCAGTTGTCATGCAGTATTAAGTACAATATAGCAATTGAACATCTTCTAATTATCTTTAGATAGTTCTAGTGGTGAGATAAGTATAGCCCACTTAGAAAAATATAAGAAAAAGTTCATAGTAAGATAATGGATAGTATTGATTAGGAGAAGGTGTGTAATGTTTTGAGTCCTAGCCCTCCTGTTTATTAGTGCTATGATCCTGAGCAGGTCATTTTCCCATTCTGGGTTTGGTTTCCTCTAAGATCTAGGTTAAAACTAGGGTCCCTAAGCTTGTTTTTTTTTAATTAATATTTTGATAACTATTTTAATATTTTGTAATTCTAAATAATTTGTGCATTTAGAAACATTATTCTGAGAAGTGGTTCGTAGGCTTTACCAGGCTGCCAGTAGTGTCTATGATATAAAAAAGGAGAACTTAACTGCTCTGAAGTCTCTTATAGCTCCAGCATTCTTCAGTGCTTGGGTGGCTACTGTAGGCTTCTAGTTTCCCCTGACCTTTTTAATAATCTTTCTTTTGGTGCTGTGTCTGTTAACTGGGGACTAAAACCCTGGGAAGAATTTCCTAATGCACAGAGATGATGGGGTGGAACAGAAATGGAGAGTTCCCTTCTTGGGGTTCATGTATTAAGGGAATGAAATTGGTATGAAGTTAAGAAGTGAGCTAGTGGCAAGTTTTGAAGTAGAATTTAATAGAGGTAAGTGACTGAAATATTCTTTCAATACACTTGTTTTCAGTAGTTTCAGGGTAGACAAGGGAATTGGGATGGTGAGCAAAGCTGTTTCATATTAAGAACTTGATTAAACTTGATTTTATAACTCCTTGGTATTGAGAGTCAAAAGACTCCTGGGTTCTGGTCATTGATCTGCTACTTGGTAGTTGCATTGTCTTGGGCAAGTTAGCGTCTCCAAGTCTTATTTCCTTAACAGTAAAATGATGTTATCTTTCTGAAGGTATGGTTGTGAGGAAAGTGCTTTAGAAACAGGAGCTACTATTATGATTGTAATAGCACTTATGAATTCTATACAAAAATAGTGTTCCAGGTAAGATTGCTTTTAGTCACAGTAGTGTTAGAGTGATTAGTTCTATCTAGTTTTCTCAACTAGCAACAACAGATAATGTTGCAGAAGGAAAGAGTAGAGGCATCAGATACCTGTCACTCTTGGTATAATTGAAATAGTTTCAAATCCATCTTTTGAGTACAAAAGGAACAAGACATAGTGGTCCATTGAGTAAGATTTATTCTCTGAAAGGTTTCTTGGAATGGTTGCCATTTGAGTTTTCTGGTATGGAGTTTGTATAGCTGCTGCTATTTTGAAAATTTTAACTTCCTAATTTCAGTGCTTATTCTTTTGTTAGTTTTCATTTTTTATTTTTTGCAAAAATAATGTTTGCCATTCATTTTTTTAAACTTTTTTATTTTTAGGCAGTTGGGGTTAAGTGACTTGCCCAGGGTCACACAGGTAGTAAGTGTCAAATGTTTGGTCTGAGCACGGATTTGAACTCAGGTCCTCCTGACTTCAGGGCCGATGCTAGCTGCCCCCGCGATTCATTTTTTAAAAGCAATATTTAGTTCTGACTAGTGTAGTAACTAAATGGCTTTTCACTTGTATTCATTATATTTCAGATGCGAAAACTCAAAATTAAGGGAAAATTGTCAGCTTGGGAGTAGCCAGACTTGGCTGCAATTTAATGCAATTTCCTGCACTATTGTTCTTGCATTTGAATTTCCCATATCCTCTTAATTTCCCCTAGTATACAGTAGTTTTATGTCATTGAAATGGTGCTTAATGTGGTTAACTGTTTTCTGTGATAAGAATTTGATGTCTATGTGCAGGAGTGATTTTGATTTGGATATGTTAGAATTGTCATTGATTTACTGAGTCATGGGATGTTGTGGGAGAACTTAGCACTTGCTTTTTGTGATATTATTAGCAAATTTGGAATGTACCTTAAATAGCTATAGTTTCTCTGTAATAGTGTCTTAAAAGCTTACATTTCTATAACACTAAACAGTTTACAAAGCATTTTTCTCACAACCACCATTGGAGGGAGGTATAATGCCTATATTATCCCCATTTTGTAGATGAACAAATTGAAATATCTGAGAGGTGAAATTAGTTCCCCATTCACTTGAGCTAGGCCTTGACTGTAGGACTTCTGATACCATGTTTTATGTTACTTACACACTGCCAAGTTGCATCTAGAAAGGAGGGATAAGGTCAGGGGGAATGATTATCCATAGTTTTATTAGTCATCCTCCAGATGGTTTATATTTTCTGCTTTTATGACATCTTGAATTAATGAGTTCCCTGTTTCTACTATCTTTGTTATTTTCTGTAAAGAATTACTTCCTTTTTATTTGTCCTAAAACCACCTACCTCAGTTCTGAGTGTTTCCTCTCCTACATCTCATTATATCAAATCTAGGTTCAAGACAACTAACATTTTGTTGAATTACTACTGTTTGTAAAGCCATGTATGATTTTGTATATTCCACCATAAACATACACTGTGTGAATTTAAAGACTTCAAAGAGATAGTTTTAATAAATATCTTCTAAAGCAGGAATTCTAAACTT